GATCAAATTGCCAACATCTGTTGGATCAACAGAAAGGCAAGAGAGTTCCAGAAAAACATCTATTTATGCTTGACTGACAATGCCAAAGCCTTTGACTGTGTGGATCACAACAAACTGTGGAAAATTCTTAAGGAGATGGGAATGCCAGGCCACCTGACCTGCCCCTTGAGAAATCTGTATGCAGGTCAGGAAGCAGCAGTTAGAACTGGACATGGAACAACAGACTGTTTCTAAATAGGAAAAGGAGTACGTCAAGGCTGTATATTGTCACCCTGCTTATTTAACTTATATGCAGAGTACATCATGAGAAACGCTGGGTTGGATGAACTGCAAGCTGGAAGCAAGATTGCCGGGAGAAATATCAATAACCTCAGATATGCAAATGACACCATCCTTATGGCAGAAAGCAAAGAAGAACCAAAGAGTCTCTTGATGAAAGTGAAAGAGGAGAGTGAAAAAGTTGGTTTAAAGCTCAACATTCAGAAAACTAAGATCATGGCATCTGGTCCCATCACCTCATGGGAAATAGATGGGGAAACAATGGAAACAGGGGCAGACTTTACTTTCTCGGTCTCCAAAATCACTGCAGCTTTGAAATTAAAAGACGCTTCCCTTGGAAGGAAAGTTATGACCAACCTAGATAGCATATTAAATAGCAGAGACATTACTTTGCCAACAAAGGTCCGTCTGGTCAAAGCTATGGTTTTTCCCATGGTCATGTATGGATGTGAGAGTTGGACTGTGAAGAAAGCTGAGTGCAGGAGAATTGATGCTTTTGGACTGTGGTGTTGGAGAAGACTCTTGAGAGTCCCTTGGACTGCAAGGAGATCCAACCAGTCCATCCTAAAGGAGATCAGTCCTGGGTGTTCACTGGAAGGACTGATGTTGAAGCTGAAACTCCAATACTTTGGCCACCTCATGCGAAGAACTGACTCATTGGAAAAGACCCCGATGATGGGAAAGATTGAAGGTGGGAGGAAGGATGAGATGGTTGAATGGCATCACTGACTCAATGGACATGAGTTTGAGTAAACTCTGGGAGTTGGTGATGGACATGGAGGCCTGGCGTGCTGCAGTCCATGGGGTCGCAAAGAGTCGGACACGACTGAGCCACTGGGAAACAAAACTCTTCCCCTTTCTGGCCTGACGGGTCATGTAATTCTCTTTGGAGACACTGACCAGCAGTGTGGTGGTGTAAAGACAGTCACCGTCACCTGTCTTCGCAGACACTCTTTGGGCCATCTTTAAACCCATCAAAAGTAAGACCTGAAAGGACTTTTTAAAAAATGTGAGCAATCTATGATGGTCTTTCTTTTATTTTTTTGCTGCACAGCATGTCAGATCTTAGTTCCCTGACCAGGGATGGCATCTGTGCCCCTTACATTGGAAGCATGGAGTCTTAACCACCGGACCACCAGGCAAGTCCCAGCACTCATTTTTAATACGCTCCCTCAGCGGATTCCACCCCATCCTGTTCCTTTGTTCTCAGACTTCACTTTTATTCTTGGCCTGACGTTCTTTAGTATGTTGGCGTCACGGAACCCTTGGCCTTGCTAACTGTCTTCACAACTCCACGCTTCCAGCTCATCAGCGGATGCTTCTTTTCCCTGAAAGATGGCAAGACTGTGCATGTGTGAGTGTGCCCGCATGCTTGTGACATGTGCGTGTCTGTGTGCTCACGTGTGTGTGTGCACAGTCACCAGGGAACCATCATAAATAAATCAGCAGCGAAAAAGAGGTAGTGACACATGGTCCTACTTGATGCTGGAAACTCTGGGACTTCCAGCTGTTTTCAGAGGTAATGGTTGTTAGGTTCATAAGAAAAATAAAACAACTTGAGAGATACTGGGACATTTTAGTCAGTAACTAACATGGCCCACTGGTTTCAAGAACTGTTTGGAGTGGAGAACATATTGCAAGAGGAAATTCCCACCCGCCACTCTTTTCATCAAGCCTATTAAGCTAATGGTTTTATTTTAACAATGTCTTTCCCCACAGCCAGCCTGCCTCAGGTATAGACTCTGCCAGACATGGTTACTAAACACCCAGAGACTCAAGCAATTAGAGAAGATGCTATTTTTAAGTTCTCTTGTAGAGTCTCCTGGGCAATAAGCTGGCTAAAATCAGCCTCAAGGGTTCTGGAAGTTTCTGCTCTCAGCAGTGTGAGCTTCAATTTCCTTCAGGTACCCCTGGCCACGTCTGCCCAGGACTTATCTAAGAACTGGCTGCCTGGTGGGGCAAGGAGCATTGCGACTCCTGGGTGGACTTTCAGGGATCTGCTGCAACGTGGGCGGAGTCCCCGGTGCTCCTGAGAGCATCTTTCTCCAGCTGCCGCTGGGGTCTTTACCGACATTCCCTTGCCTCGCCTGGTCCTGCCTGTGACCGAAGATACAGGTGTGTGAGGCATCTGAGTTTAAAGCTTCCACCTGAGCCAGTGGCAACCGGTGCCCTTGGGCAAACTTTCAAAGTAGACCCATCGCTTCTCTTTAGGAGGGCTTTTCTCCTCTGGACCCTCTCTCTCCAGAATCCTCCAGCCTCTCCCACCTGCACCCCCGTTTCACCAGGAGGGGGCACTTCCCTCAAGCGCTCTCTGGTCCTTTCACCCCTGCACCCCACACGCCCCCTGTCCTCGCACCCTAAGTCTTCACTCGTGCACCCCTGCTTCTCTGCCCTCGGTGGGCATTTGAATTTGCAACTGCAGTTCAGGGCAGAAGCCAGCCTTCCTCTCCAACCCTACTTATCCACAAGTCATCGACTCCTTGCAAGGTACCGGGGACAGATGAGTAAGGTGATCATTCAAAAGAGGGTAATCTGGGTGGGAGGAGAGAATGGACCACCTGCTTCCCTCACGCTGGCGCCAGCCCCACCTGGCTCCCACCCAAGAAACAGTGAGCATAATTCCCGTGGGAGGTAGTTATCCCAATCAGCTCTGCGTTAGCAAATGATGGTGGGGAATTCCCCTCAGGAAGGCGTCATATGCATCTTCTCCCAGTCACACACAAGCTTTATTTAGCAGGTCAAATTGTCCTCAAATAACCAGGAAGAAAATACACTGACACATTCTGGAACGTATTTCATACAGAATCTGAATTCTCTGCACCTTACTCCCGCCCACAATATTGTGTCTGCAAGGGCAGCTACTGGGCCAAAGGATGTCTTCCTCTGAGATCTTTGAGAGGAGGGCTTATCTGGGGGGCAGACTGGCCCCACACCCTGGAGTGCGGTGCGATTTCAGCTTTCCCCCATACACTCCTGCAGAGACTGTTCTCCCCACTGAAACCACACAGCTCTGGCCTGGGGCCATATAGTTTGAATACAAGTTTATCATTTTTGTCTACATTATATCTTGTTCCAGAGAGGACTTGTGGCAATTTACAGACACACAAAATCAAAATGAAAAAATTACACATAAATAAGAATCAGATCCAAGGAAAATGTCAATAAAGGTAGGTAAGGGAACGTGAGGATTCAGACCTGAGGCTGGAGCCGTGCTGTGTTTTTCTAATTTCGGTTGCGCTGGATCTTGGCTGCTACGCGTGGGCTCTCTCTCGCTGTGGTGAGGGGGCCACGCCGTGGCGGGGGCGCGGGCTCTAGGCGTGCAGAGTTCAGCAGTTGCAGGTCAGGTGCTCAGCAGCTCTGGTGCACGGACTGCAGCTGCTCCACAGCCTGTGGAGTCTTCCCCGACCAGGGATCGAACCCATGTTCCCCCGCACTGGCAGGCGGATTCTTACCCACTCTACTACCAGCGAAGTCCCTGGAGCAGTGATCTGAAACGCGCTGCACATCCTTCAAAAATAGGTTGTCTGGGCCCCACCCCCAGAGGTTCTGACTTAATTGCTCTGGGGTGTGGCCTGGGCCTCAGAATTTTTTCAAGCTGCCCAAGTGAGATTAACTGCAGCCAAGGCTGAGAATCACTATTCTCAAGTGGCGCCTACTGCGACGGAAATGAGAATACAAGCTGACATCTGGGCTCCCTGGGAGCTGGAGCCAAAAAGGGACTGAATGTGCCCTGTGGCTCCAGGACCCAAACGGGCTCCGCCTCCACCTGGGGGTGGGGGGCCGGGAGGGGCTCAAATGGAGGGGATACAGGTGCGCCTCGGCCTGATTCACGTGGAGGTTTGACAGAAAATTCTGTAAAGCAATTATCCTCCAGTTAATAAATAAGTTTAAAAAAAAGGGAAACCAGGTAAGTTTCACATAACACATTGTCTCGAAGATAAGAGAGCTTTCCCTGCCTCTGAAGTCTGAAGGAAATCACGGAAATGCGTCTTCTTCCAACACTTGCCGCACAGTTGCGTGTGTGCACATATTCTTCGTGTGGTTTATATGCATTTGTACATACCTTCCTTTTTATGCAAATGAGTCATATGCTCTTCTGCAAACTGTTCTCCTGTTTACAAGCCTGTTGGCACGTTTGGATATTCAGGAGACGTTTGGCAACTTGATCTAAGAGTAATTCAGAAGAGCACGTGTGTGCATGCTAAATCGCTTCAGTTGTGTCCGACTCTTTGTGACCCCAGGGACTGGAGTCCCCCCGGGTTCCCTTGTCCGTGGGATTCTCCAGGCAAGAATGCTGGAGTGGGTCGCCATGCCCTCCTTCAGGGGATCTTCCCCACCCAGTGATTGAACCTGCGTCTCTAACATCTCCTGCATTGGCAGGTGGGTTCCTTACCCCTTGCGCCACCAGGGAAGCCCCCCAGAAGAGCATAGATGACATCTGTCCTCCCCTTTAGTGAGTAAAATAGTCATGTTTCTAGTTTTGTAAATGGTAACCTGCACTTTCATGCTCTCCTGTCTTTTCTCTGCATTTCTCTCTTCTCGGTATCATTCGAAGTCTTCAGAGCAGACGGTGCCCAGAAATCCAAGGGCGATGAATAGATTACGTGGGCTAAACCCCTCTTATGAACAAGGGATGCCAAGAGTAACACGTGACTGTCCTTCCTTTCCAGAAATGAAACCGGACGCGTAATCTATGCCCATTACTCCAGAGGAGAACCAGGTCAGAAAGGGGCCTTGTAGAGACAGCCAGCCCCTTGGGGTGGGAGTGACGCCAGGCAGCTGCGGTCAGGGCACCACAGCCCATCGCCGCGGCCCTAGGAGAGGCAGAGGGGGCAGGACCCGCCTCCTCTCGGGCAGCTGCTGCTGTGTCCAGACTCATGGCCAGGCTTCGCTCACCTCTTGGGGGTGGGGCGGGGCTTTTTGGCGGCACCTCCGGCAGGAACAATCAGGACGCCTTCCAGTGCGGCTCGGTCTTGCCTTAAAGCAGAGACCGAAGGGCTCTGCTGAGCAACCCCGGTGCCTCGGCGGCCTGAAACTTTCATCTCATCATTTTTGAAAAGAGTCTCCGTAGACCTGGCACAGAAAACAGAGCTGCCCCTACCTTCGGCAAGACTTTGAAAGAGCATCCCTGCAATAAGCATGGAAAAGACAAGCTGAGTGCTTCTTGATGCTTGTAAGAAAGGATAAACTCCGTATGGGAGAGAGCGTTGTGTATTTTTCAGCTGCCACGTACCGGGGGGACTATCACAATTGGCGAGGGGTTGACGTAATTCCGGACCGACTGGCAGCCCTGTTCTGAGGCTCGGTGCCCCCTGCTGCCGCAGCTGACCCCACCCCGACCCAGCTGACCCCTGGCCTTGCTACGATCCAGCACCTAAGGGTGGGTGCCAGGCACCCGCCAGGCCTCCAGGACCCTGTCCCAGACCTCCGTTCTGCGGGGTCACCGCTGGGGCTTTGCCCGCCGTTACCATTCTGCAGACCCTCCATAAGTGTTTGTTGCATGTGAATGACAGTTCACCACCGCTCTGCCTGCCTTTTGATGAATGGACCACAGGTCTGAGCACAGGCTCTGGTCAGAGAACCTGCTGCTCCGTGGACTGAAGGAGCTCAACTGAGAAGGGTCACTTATTCCTGGAGGCCTGACGCAGCATCACTCGGGACCCGTGGGTAGACCAGGCGTGACCCACCCTAAAGACAGCCAGACTCGGCCGGGGCTGTATCTTGGGGTCTGGGGACAGCCCTGGATCATCTCCAAGTTGCCCTCGCCCGCGTCTCCGGGCTGAAAGGTGGACACTGACAAGGCGCTCAAAACCACAACCACGCTGATGTTAAAGTCCCATCCGACTCAAGTTCGCTGTGTGAACACTGCTTTTTGCCAGGAAACAGGGAGGACTCATGCCCCTCCCCCTTCCCTTTCCTCCCCTCTTTCTTTTTTAAGACACATTCAGAAGTGCTTGAATGGCTGTTGAAGGAAATTATTGCTGCCGCAATCACCGCTCTCTGTGTGAAACGCCTCCAGTCGTCCGCGGCCTCCCTCCTGCGGGTGGAGGGACATTTGGATATTAAAATGCCGCCGAGCTGTGTCTGCCGACAAGCAGCCACTAATCATCTCTTAAGGCAGCAGGGGACGCACCCCGGGTCCTCGGCTCACCAATCCCTGCCTTTAGGCGGGTTGCCGCCAGATGGAGGCTTCTAAGGCAGGGACAGCAGAGAACAAGGAATAAAGAGGTGGGAAAGGGCCTGGCAAGAGGCCAGCACAGAAAGCCATTTGCTCATCTTCTCTGCTCGAGGTGAGAACAGACCTGCACGCCCGGCATCCAGGAGGTCCAATTTTCAGCTAAGTGGTGCCTTGGAAGAAGCATGTGGACTTCTCATTTGCAGTTACATCTACAGACTATAAATTCTTTTTCTTTCCTCCCTCTTCTTCTTTTTTTTTTTAGTGCTCTTGTAAGTTAGGCAGCTTCATGTGCTGGACTGGGGAACAGCATCCCTGGACCCATCGCCCTTCCATCCTCTGCACCGATCAAGGGTCCTGCTGGAGTCCGGCAGTGGGAGGGTGGGCAGAGAGGCAGCTGGGCGTCTGTACTCCCCAGCCCTCTCCCCGCAGAGACCCCAGCGGTCAGCAGCGTCCGTCTGCGTGCCAGCCACCGTTCCTGCTGCGTGGCCTTCTCCTTCCTGCCGCCTGGGTTAGCGTGGCTTCTGGACTGTGGTGACTGTTACTGCTTCTCCCCACTTGAGGCCTGGAGGCAGTAAGGGCTGCTCCCCAGCCTGGACACGAGACTGCGGCCCGGGTCCTCACTGCTCCTCGCTCGCTTCCCCGTCTCTGCCCACCGGTGTAACTGCTCTTTACCACAGTGTCTCAAGTCACCCGGCTTGAACGTGCCAGCTGTCTCCTGCCAGGCCCTGGTTGGCACACCAGTGGGCTCAGGTCTTTATGTGCCCTCTCGCAGACCTTCTTACCAATCCTGCAGTGTCATCATAAGAGTCTTCCCTCCCGGAGAGGATGCTTCCTGCCTCCACTCAAGGCCACTCGGCTGGAATTTGGGACTCTAGGCACAGAAAGCATTTTGGTCCTACTTCCAAGTCTCGGTCTTGCTCACTGCCCTGGAGGGTCTCTGTGACCTCATGGGGCTCCCTAAACCCTTCCTTCAGTCTCCACTAAACTAAAATTTGCTTAACCATATTTTTTTAAAAAGCGCTTCAGCACCTGTCATTTCATTTGAGCCTCAGAACATGGATCTCCTTGGATCTGAATTATTGCAAGACATATGAAGAGCCTGCAAATTACAAGGCATCCAGCAAGGGATGCCCTTGCATCATCCTTTCGTGTCTGAGACACAGAGGGTGCTCAGGAATGTTCTGTGGAGGTGTGGACTGTCCCAGCTACTGGAGCCCACAGAGGCCATCTACCCAGGAAGCCGGAGGAGCATGGCACGAGGGCGCTGCTGCCGTGTCTGGTCAGTTCTGCCAGCAAGAGACGGTGCCAGCCTGGGAGGGGACCCCTTTCTTCTGCTCACACTGCCTCGGCGAGAACGTTTCAATATGGCCGCAGGGCAAACCGGGAAACGGAGTCCCTGCCTGGACCGCACGTGGCCCCCCACATCGGGACCACCACGCGCAGTGGGGAGTGTGAGTCTGGAGGCAGAGCTCGTTGCCGCTGTTGCTGTTCATCACATCAGCCTTCCTCAACACGATCTGCTCCATCTCACATCAGTCCCTCCGGGCTTCCCTGGCGGTCCGGGGGTAGGGACCCTGCCTGTCAATGCAGGGGGTGTAGGTTCGGTCTGTGACCCAGGAAGACCCCACATGCCGCGAGGCAGCTGAGCCCGTGGACCGCAACCACCGAGGCCCCGTAACCTGTGCTCTGCAACAGGAAGCCTAGTGCATGGCGAGAAGCCAGTCACCGCGGCGAAGAGTAGCCCCACTCTCTGCAACCAGAGAGAACCCGGGTGCGCGTCGAAGACCCAACACGGCCAAGAATTAAAAATAATAAACCATCTCAAAGAGGTCGACCCCACCTTTTCTATAAACTTGCCTGGCAGTCTCTCCTGCTGTCTCAGGAAATAAATGCAGAGGGATGTATCCTTGCTTTCTTTCCTTCCCTGCTCTATGATCTCAAGATCTCGAGTTGATTTCTCTCCGTTGGAACACAGGGAACAATAGCAGACCAGCCTCCAAAGGCCTTCATTCCATCCCTGCCTCTGCCAGAAACGGCTCCATGGTGTGGAGGAGGCAGCTTCACTCCTCCCCGTCCACAAGGGACGGTGATATTTATCAAAGAAACTCATTCCTGGCCAGGCACACCATGCGTTTTTTAATAACAATAGCTCGCATCATAACAATAGCTCGCATCATAACAATAGCTCGCTTTTCCTGAGGGCTTGCTGTGTGCCAGGCACTAAGTGTGTTAGTTCACTTAACTTGCAGTAATCCTGTGTGGAAGGTACTACTATTATCTTCATTTTACAGCTGAAAACAGATGAGGTACAGAGCAGGTAAGTAACTCACCAGGATTTCATAATCAAATTCAGAAACACTGCTGTCCCGCTTCTTTCGTGCGTGCTGGGTCACTTAGGTCGTGTCCGACTCTGTGCAACCCCATGCACTGTGGCCCACCAGGCTCCTCTGTCCATGGGATTCTCCAGGCAAGAAGACTGGAGTGGGTTGCCGTACCCTCCTCCAGGGGATCTTCTCGACCCAGGGATTGAACCTGCATCTCTTACGTCTACTGCATTAGCAGGCTGGTTCTTTACCACTAGCGCCACCTTCTTTAATAGACAGGTAAGGTATTTTTGGAGTATTTTATCCTGCTCTCCTTGTATCTCCTGAATTTTCACTTTACTTCATCGACCATCTGGCCTGTCTCCCTGTGAGAGGAAGGATCACTTTGACGAAGGGACCATTTACTCTCCATCCTCATGCCCCCATCAACCTTCCCAGCCTGCTGCTTCCACTGAGGAAATGCTCTGTGACTGCATGTAGGTGATCTAGGCAGGTATAATGATGCAGTTTTCATTGGATTTGTGATGCTGTGATGGAAATGGCATACATTTGCCTTCATCACACCTGGATTCAAATCTCCTCTCTCCTGGGTGCTAACCGTGCTAAATTGGGATAGCTATTTATCCATCTAACCTCACATCGCATCCATTTTCTCATCATTAATAATAAAGAGAAGAACTAAAGCTCTTAAAGCCGAGGCTGGTTATGTAGATTCTTCCTCCTGCAGGTGATACACTCATTCATAATAACACTGGGGAGTGGACAGCTAAACCCCGTTTCCCCCAGCAGAGACAGGCGTGGCTGGGAGGAGGGGGGAGACAGAGTTCAAAGCCAAGTTGATTTTTCTGCGCTGCTCAGAAGAGGAATCCAGAGCGCCTGTCCCATCGATGATCTACAGATAAGCCCAGAGCCACAGGGGTGAAGAACTCTTCTGTTTGCAGAAGTGACTGGGAATTGAGCTGGGAAGATGAGGGAGAGAACGAGCAGGGAAGGGAATGAAGGAATGAACCTGGAGAAGTGAGGAGTGAGGGGTCTGGAAGAAGAGAAAGGGTTTATTTAGCAGCATGGCTGGGATGAGATCGGGCTCAAGGGAGAGTCTTCCTGTTGGAAACGGACAAATAATAAATGCAGAGGGAGGTGTATTTGCTTTCTTTCCTTCCCTGCTCTGTGATCTCTACCCGCCTCCATCTTTACTCCCTGCATCTCTCTAGCGCCTTCAGTGAAGTCTACATACAAATGCCCAGTTGTTAAGAATATGGGAGCTGGGGTGGGGTGGGGGGAGGCCCTACACCTGAGCAATGAGATCAGTAACTCAGAGGAGCTTGAAGTCAGGGGAAAATAGGAACACCGTACCAGTCACCATTTCTGCTCCCCAGAGAGTGGGAGAGATTGGAGGACGTCTAGTGGGCTGTGGCCACACACGGAGTAGCGTTTGATGCCATTTCGTTTGAATCTCAAAGGGCGGGGAGTCTCTGCTGACCCCTGGGATACAAGGTGATGATAATATACAAGGGTCTCTAATAACCATGAATAGCTAGGAACCTTAGAAGTCTATGTGCACTCAGAACTGAGTGCTGGCCTTACAGCAGTGTGAGAATAATAGGTGAATATCAGAACCCCCAGAGGAGCCAAAATTGCAAAAATGCAATTAAATATGTAAAAACTCAACATACGTAAGAGCTGGCATATCTTAGGTCATTGAGTGCATGTTAAGTCGCTTCAGTCGTGTCCGACTCTTTGTGACCCTGTGGACTGTAGCCCGCCAGGCTCCTCTGTCCATGGGATTCTAAAGGCAAGAACACTGGAGTGCATTGCCATGTCCTCCTCCAGGGGATCTTCCTGACCCAGGGATCGAACCCACGTCTCTAACGT